TGTGATGTTTGACTTGGTTTATATTATAAAAGTGTACTCAAAGAATAATTTAACAATCAGGTGTCAATGTAACGTGACTGTTGCCAGGTAGAATATTATCATTAGAAAGCCAAAGTATGATACCGCCTAAGTAGGAGATCTTGAATGGAATCGCAAAGAATCCTAATTGCTGTTATGCATAAAATTTTCAGAGAATCTTCATTGATAATGTACATGTAGTCCTTGACCTACCATAATGGAGCCTGCCCAGTTTGGTCATAAGGCCAGATGATATTAATTGAAAGTCATTATGTGAAAGAGCCCTCATTGTTGATCACCCCATTGCATACATTAAATGAATGCAGGACTGATTGCAGGGGTCTTTAAATGTGCACGAGGAGCTTCAGGGATGCCTGCATTGGGCCTCCCAGGGCTTCTACCACCCTCTGAAATATCCCCATGATCTGCTTCTGACTCTTCGGTTCCCCAAAGCCATCTCTATCCCTCACAATCCCTTGCTTACTTCAGTAGAGCTGCAGAACTCAGGAGGTGTGGGAAGGGAAGTACTGCAGGCCATTCTTATGGGGGCCACATGGAGTGACCCGATCTGGACTCAGCAAAACAGCATTTTCCCTTGCCTTCGCATTGCCTCTTTAACTCTTAACCCTTCATTGTTTGTTCACCATGTCAGCAGAGTCCTGTTTCTCCAGCTTCGGTTTAAAATGTGCTTTTTCACCCAGGCAATATTTGGAATTGCAAAGCAAAAACTTTGCCTCATTATGCTGTGGTGAGTTAAAGAGGTGATGCAGAGGCAGGGGAAAATGCTACTTTGCCAAGTCCAGGTCAGGTTTCAAATGGCCATTCCATATGGCCCAGTAAGAATGGCCTATAGTACTTTTGTTCATCAACATCAGTATGCTGTGATCTTCACTCAGACCAAAGTTATTTCTTCTATTTTCAGGTCCTGCTGGTCCCACACCCCCACCTGGTAGGTATTTGCTTAAATTTCTATGGTTACTTAAACTAAATCTTGCATCATAATTTAAGGAGAAATAGAACAAGTAAAGTGTTTACCAGCAAACAAAAATAAAATTCATCCAACTTTATTTTCTTTCTGTTCACTGAAAGGGCAGTTCATGAAATAAATTAGTCTTTAAGCTAGGCGTGTACTGTGAAAACTGGAGTTTTTGCTTTTCAACAAGTCATTGAATAATGTAAGGATTTAAGAAAAAATGACTAGCCTTTGTTGTTTGATTTAAATAAGGTGTAAAATAAAATTGAATTATGGAATATTTTGCTCTGGATAGTGAGATGACAGAGAGGGAGGGAGAGAGAGAGGAGGGGAGGGAGGAAGGGAAGGAAAGGAAGGAAGTTGTTTGTGCTTAACCAGTAGAGCTTAACCAGTAGTGGGGGATACAGTGGTTAAGCTTGTTGATCAGAAAGGTCGGCAGTTCAGCAATTTGAATCCCTAGCACCGTGTAATGGAATGAGCTCCCATTACTTGTCCCAGCTTCTCCCAACCTAGCAGTTCGAAAGCGTGTAAAAATGCAAGTAGAAAAATAGGGACCACTTTGGTGGGAAGGTAACAACGTTCCATGCGCCTTCGGCATTTAGTCATGCTGGCCACATGACCATAGAGACGTCTTCTGATAGTGCTGGCTCTTTGGCTTTGTAACAGAGATAAGCACCGACCCCTAGAGCCGGAAATGACTAGCACATATGTGTGAGGGCAACCTTTACTTTTAACTTTTAACCAGTAGTGATAGGGTCCTGAATGACTGGGAGCCAAATTAATTTGGCTGTGAAGTGGTTTGGTGAAAGAGGATGACTGTTTTCCCTCAACATTATTTTTATCTCCATATACCTATGTTAGAAAGAAGTTCTGGCAAAGTTTCTGAAATAATTATGAATTTTCCTTTTTTGTCAGAGCTTTCTACAACCTCCACAGATTTGACTACACAGAAAATTAGAGGTATTTAATATATACTGAAATAGATTTGTATTTTTATAACAATAATAACAATTGGACATATGAGATCAGTTGGGAGCTGGTGTACCAGCCTCTTTGTTGCATATCAACCTCCCTGTCTGAATTGCTAGAGGCCATCTTGAGGCTTGCAGGGGAGTTCGCCATGTTTATGGTCCAAGAGGACTTCAATCTGCCATCCATGGGCTTGGCTTCAGAGGCATCCCAGGAGTTCATGGCCACCTTGGCAGCCCTGGACTTATCCTAGTTCATCCAAGGTCCAACTCAGGATAGCAGTCACATTGGATATGATTTTCCTGTTGGAGCAGTGGCAACATGATGGTGGGGAATCGGTCATTATTGCCATGACATGGTCAGACCACACCCTGGTGGCTGTGAGATTTTCCAGTGCTGTCTTGTCCACAGAGAGACAGGACCTATTCAAGTTGCCCTTGGCAACTAATGGTCCCACTTGGGTTTTAGAAGGACTTTAGAAGGATATTCTGGGAGTTCTGCTGCACAGTCCTATGGAAGCCTTGGCCACAACTTGGAATCCGAAAGTGGCCGAGGCTCTGGACAGGATCACATTCATGTGCCCCCTTGAGGCCCATCGGTCCCAAAACTCCCCGTGATTTATGGAGGAGATTGAGGGTAAAAAGGTTCAACAGACAGCTAGAACACTACTAGAGTAAAGAACGAAGTCCACCCAATACAGGTAAGAGCCACAATTAAGGCCTACTTTCTGGTGGTAAAAGTGGTGAAATGTCACTGTTTCTCTAGTCTTATTGCATTGGCAGAGTGTTGCCCAATGGCCCTGTTCAAGGTCACCTGGTCCCGTGGGAAGGGGGGCTCAGACGATCATTTGCACAGCCATGCAGAGGAATTTGAACACCTGATGGATAAAATTGCTCAGTTTCATTCTCAGTTTGAGTCCAAGTGTGGAGCAAGTCTGTTTGAGATACCTGAGGAATGGATTAGGTAGATTATCTGAGAATGGTTTGACCCTGTTGGAACTGAGGAAGTAGAGAAAATCCTTGGGGCTGTTAAAACAAGTACCTGCTTATTAGATCCCTGCTCCTCCTGGTTGGTGAAAGTCCTCAGGATTGTGACCTGCAGGTGGGTCCAATTGGTGATTCATGCGTTGATGCAGGAGAAAGTATTCCTGGCATTGTTCAAGGAGGCCATGATGTGCCTCCTCCTCAAGAAATCATCACTGGACCCATGTTCCCTTGACATCTTTCACCCAGTGTCCCACATCCATTTTCTAGGGAAGGTGATGGAAAAAGTGGTTGCCTTGCAGCTTCAGAGAGTCCTGGATAAAACATATTATCTGGATCCCTTTCAGTCAGTCTCAGACTAGGTTGTGGGATGGAAATGGCATTGATTATGCTTGTGGAAAATCTCTAGTGAAAGCAGGATGAGCGTAGTGCATCCATTCTTGATCTCTCGGGGGATTTCAATATAATCGCCCATGGTAGCATTTTGGAGTGGCTATGGGGATGGTGCTGAGTGCCATGTGGCAGAGTGAGCTCCCATCACTTGCCTCAGCTTCTGCCCACCTAACAGTTAAAAGACATGCTACGTGTTACTAGATAAATAGGTACTACTTCAGTGGGAAACATGGCAGCTTTTTGTGTAGACAGTCAAACCCAGGCCAGAGATGGACCTGCCTGGATGCAATGCCAAATTGCAAGGCAAAATTGTTTGAGAGAAGACTTCAGATGATGTCATAACTTGCCATTTTTCTTTCTTCATGCAAACCTAGTTGTCCTCTGTGGCATATCATGGATTGCGCATGAGTGCGAACTAAACATACTTGCCCTCTTTAGCAGCCAAATAACTATTATGTACTAACATTGTGGTCTCCTGGTTAATTGTATCATAAGCTAAATAAATCAATACATTATGAAACACAGTGAAAGAATAATTAAACAATCAGATATCAATATAACATGGCTTCTCCCTGATAGAAGATTGTTATCAGAAAGCAAAGTATGTCATCATTTAACTAGATAGGACTGTCAAACTCCCGGCCCGTGGGCCAGATGCATGACGCACTGGTCATGCCCACATCTATTTTAGCAAAGGAAAAAAGTTCCGATACATCACGTGACACCACCATGACGATATGAGTTTGACAATCCTGAACTATATGGTCCATATGGGATCGCAGTGGATCCTAAACACTATTATGTGTAAAGTTTTCAATCAATCTTCATTGATAATGTGTATCTGTAGAAAAAAAAAATTATTATGGTACAAGGCTTTAAAGATTGGCTCTTGTTATGTATGTTTCAGTAAGTTATAAGTTATAATATTATCTTTAAATAAATTGAATTAACATGCTTAACAAACAACCACAGAACTTACCGATGGAGTTGGCAAATTTAATTGCAGCCAGTAAAAGAGGACTAGCCATAATCTCAATACTAAAAAACAACAGGCATCAGTTCTGATACTTTCAGCCAGGTTTGCTATGCTCTTTTTTATTTTACTTTATTGTATCAAACTAAAGAAGAGTAAAAAAATATATAAAAGAAATAATAACAACAATGGTGATATACTCTATCCCACTAAATCATCAACATAAGTTATTTCTTCTATTTTCAGGTCCTGCTGTCACCAAACTGCCACCTGGTAGGTATTTGCTTAAATTCCTATTATTACTTAAAATCAAATTTTACCCCATAATTTAAGGGGAAATAGAACCATTAAAGTCTTTACCAGAAACACAGAGAAATAAAATTCATCTAACTTTCTTTTCTTTCTTTTCAATGAAAGCAAAATTTGTGAAATAAAATGAGTTTTTATGCTATGTATGTGATGCAAAGATGGGACTTTTGCCTTTCAACAAATCATTCAAAGAAAGTGAATGTAAGAAAAAAGATTACCGTATGTTCTTGATTTAAATAAAACGAAAGCATTGAATTATGAAATGTTTTGTGAGATAACATAATAAATAAGTAAATAAGTATTTATGGAGTACTTAAAATTGTGTTTAAACACTACTGCTAGTGTGTTTAATAATTGGAATCCAAATTAATTAGGTTAACTAGTAGAAAAGCAGTATCATGAAGTGGTTTGATCAAAGAGAATGAACAAGAATTGAATTAGAAAACAAATATATGTAGGAAGAACAGATAGAGAGAAAGTGGAAAACCAAGAGAATAGCTGGTTTTTTTCAGCATTATTTTTATCACTATACAGCTATGATAGATAAGAACTTCTTCAGTCTCTGAGTCATATAACTATACAATTTCTGTTTTTGTCAGACCTTTCTACAACTCCCACAGATATGACTACAAAGGAAACAAGAGGTATTTATTATATGCCTGAAGTGGATTTGCATTCTTATAATGAAGAATGCAATGAATATTGAAACAATAAACCTATATCATTTCCAGTTGTTCACAATGGTTGCTTAAATGCTGGTTGCAAATTGTTTATTGTACCACATTGGAAATAGTATACATGTGAAGATGTCAACTAGATCTGGGGAGATCCAGGTTCAGGCCCACCATGAGAACTCATGGGGTAACTTTGAGCCAATCATTTCCTCTTTACCTAATTCACATGATTTTAAGATAAAAGGAGGGGTGTGCTTCATCTGTAGGTCAATCCAGTGTTTGAACCATCAAACTCATGGTCATCAACATTACCAAGTCATATACTTGGTGATGTTGGTGAAAAAAGAAATGTCATATCAATGAGCCACTTTATACCTCCTTTCTAATCTCACACCCATTTTATGGTATGGTGAGATGAAGGCGGTTGGAATTCTGCAAAGCACATATAAATCCAGTTATATTAACTGAATTCAGTTACGGAACTGAAATATCCAAAGAGATCGTGTGATTTTCCACCATACCATGGAACCACTTCTATCCTCACAGAAAAATAATCAGACTTGAATAAAATTGACTAACATTAATGTATTATATTAATATGTTACATTGGTGAAACAGAATAGCAGAGGTGATTCCTCCCGATTTATCTAAAAGGTCAAATCATAGCAACTGGACCAAAGTTTATTGAAACTGAAAGGTTTCATTACTCATCCAAGTCATTTCTTTAGTCAAAATGAAATTATTTAACCTTGTTAGATACTTTTGGCCTGAATGATTGAATCTTCATTTAGACCTTCTCTTAGAAATAAAAAATTCTAGAAATTAGATATCTCCGGTGAAATGTTCGTATTTTGTTACATGTTCAAGCGAAATGAAATGAAATAAAGTTCAAAGTTACCTCTCAAATACACAAAAAAAATGTGAATGATCCAAGAGAATGACCAAAGATTTGTAGATTAGGCAGCAACTGTGGCCAGCCCTAAACACGTATCTTCTTAAATCCATTAAGCCCCATTCATCTAAAGGGGAACACAGGTCACAATATCTAGTTGTACACACAAATACACATGCATGCCCACAGATACACAAAGGCATTTATCTGACAAAAAAAAAAAGCCAGGTTGGGAATACTGAAATGCCTTTTTAAAATGAACCCTCAAAAGTCAATGCAATGTGCCATTGGGAAAAAATGATGTCTGTGTCCTTTTAACGATTGCAGAAATTGCATTGGTAATGACAAACTCATTGACTATAAGGTTGATGAATGGGAAAAACAGATGCCAGGGTCGCCTTAAATTTTTTTACAATGGGAACTGGGGAATTAAGCATACTAGTTTCACTGTGAAAGCACTGTCAATGCTGTAAATAAATATTATATAAACTATTCTTTCTGATTTTAATAGAAAGACTTACAAAACATTCCTGAGAATAATTAAAATTATTCTGTAGAGAAACATTAAACTATCAGATTCTTGTGTCTGTTTTCCTTTTTTTTTCTTCATGTATCAAATTAAACTTTTTTTTTCCTTTTGGTTTCTGTAGCTCCCACAAAAAATGCATCAGAAGTGCCAAGTATTTTACATTTGAATCAGTGATGGGATTCAAAAATTTTACTACCGGTTGTGTGGGCGTGGCTTGGTGGGCGTGCCTGGAGAAGGATACTGTAAAATCTCCAGAGCTGGTATTGGCCGGTTCTCCGAAGTACTCAAAATTTCCACTATCGGTTCTCTAGAACTGGTCAGAACCTGCTGAATACACCTCTGATTTGGATCATTTTTTAAATTAACTCAATCTCTGTATTTTAGTGCAAACATACATGCACATATTTAATATGTGCATTATATGTTGCATTATAGAACCTCTGATCTGATGTTTGAAAACTAATATATGTAGGAAGAGCGAACGGATAGAGAGGAAGTGGAAAACCAAGAAAATAGCTGGTTTTTTCCCAACATTATTTTTATCTTTATACATCTATGATAGCAACGATATTCAGCAAAATTCCTGAATCATGTAACTATAAATTTCTGTTTTTTTCAGATCTTTCTACAACCTCCATGGATCTGACTACGCAGGGAATAAGAGGTATTTATTATATGGTTAAGTGGATTTGTATTCTTGTAATAATAATAAATATTGTAACAATAAACCTACAACACTTCCAGCTGATCGCAAGGGATGCTGCCAACCAAGGGTTCCAAAACAGAACTGCAGAGTTGATTCCTCACTCTTTAGAAATGAAGAATTCTAGAAATTAGATATTTGATGCATAAGTACAATCTGTATTTGTTTTCCTTTGAAGAAAAATCTCTGAGACTGGTGAATGGAGAAGACAAATGTCGTGGTCGCATTGAGGTCTTTTACAATGGACGCTGGGGAACAATTTGCGATGATGGCTGGGACATGAATGGCGCACAAGTTGTGTGTAAGCAGCTTGCCTGTGGAGAGGCTGTCCAAGCTCTACCTAATGCTGCGTTTGGGGAAGGAACTGGCAGCATCTTCCTGGATGAGCTGAAGTGCCAAGGAAATGAATACTCTCTTGAAGAATGCTCCCATAACCCTTGGGGCATTCATAACTGTCGCCACAAGGAAGATGCTGGGGTCATTTGCTCAGGTAATTTGAGCTGCTTAATTTTTAATAAAGATATTACAGTATATTTCAGTACATTCATTTAAAGTTAGACCTGGTAGACAATGGAATAACAATCTCTGGCTAAGTAGAATCAGCTACTTAGTTGATTCAACAACAATATGGAAGCACCAAGAGCCGTTGTGGTGCACTGGTTAGAATGCAGTACTGCAGGCTACTTCTGCTGCCAGCTGGCTGCCAGCTGCCAGCAGTTCAGCAGATCAATTCTCACTTGCTCAAGGTTGACTCAGCCTTCCATCCTTCCAAAGTCGGTAAAATGAGACCCCTATTGTTGGGGGCAATATGCTGACTCTGTAAACTGCTTAGAGAAGGCTGTAAAGCACTGTGAAACATATATGTCTAAGTGCTACTGCTATTATTGTAAGCCAAATGCTTTTCGCCTGTTTACCCATATAGCTTTTACATTCAGAGCTCACATAGTCTTCTGAAATGTCTCTGAAAAATTCAATGATGCAAAGCTATAGAAATCAAATTTCATCAAAGGAACATAGTTACAATGTGGCTAGAGCTTTATGTTTATTTTAAGAACCAAATGTCTGCTAATTTATTTTTTGTTCAGAATGCTACATGGCATTGACCATCTTGAGTAGATTTGTTTATGGGTAGTGCTTGCTTACCAACCAAATTATAATAGCACTGAAAATGAGACTTTTGACAGGTCCTTAAAGGTATGGTTTTTGCAGAATCCCTGTGATCATGATTTGGGCCATTGGCAACTAGTAAGCATTTACCACAATCACAGCATCCTGCAGTCAGGTGATTGCCATTTGCAATCTTCATAGCCAGCTTCCAATAAAGTCAATGGGAAAGGCAGGAAGAAGTTTATTACAGATTTATTTATTTATCACATTTCACAAGAGGGACACTTTTACTTCTTTATATCAAATTAAAGAAGAATACAAAAATATAAAAGAAAAAAATGATAACATTGGCAATATAACCCATAATTAATCCATCATCATTATTATATTATCTCCATTCATAGAAATTATTTTTTCTATTTTTAGGTCCTGTTGTCACCACATCAGCACCTAGTATGTATTTTCTTAAATTACTATTTTTACTTACAACATTGTATAATAATTTAAAGGGAAATAGTACCAGCAAACTCTTCATCCAACTTTCTTTCCAAAATCTGTACAGAATTCAGCATGGACCCTTCTGAGGTGCTTTCTCTTTCCTCATTCCTTTTTTGGACTTCGATTCTCTTATCAGATGTTTTCTTGCTTTGGCTCTTCCTTCTGCCTCCCAAAGTTATTCTCATAAACTGGCACAGCTTCTAACCAAAGACCAGGCCATTGAATTTAATTTAACCAAGACAACTCAATTCAAAAAGAGCCCTCTAAATGTTCATCTTTGTTTACATGATGATGTAAAAGAGTAACAAGTTTTTCATCTCGGGTATTCCGGGAAAAGAAACCAGAAAGGTATTTCTCAAATATACAAAATAATTTGTAAATGATCCAAAGATATATAGATCAGGAAGCAACTCTGGCCAGACATAAACATATATCTTCTTAAATCAATTCAACCCCATTCATCTAAAGGGGAGCACTGGTCACAATATCTAGAGTTGTACTGTACACACGCACATGCATGCCCATTGATACACAAAGGCAGAATGTTATCTGACAAAAAAAATCAAGTTGGGAAACACTGATATGCCTTTTTAAAATGAACCTTCACAATGTTAATGAAACGTGTCATTGGGAGAAAATGCTGTTTATATTCTTTTGACAATTGCAGAAAGTGCATTGGTAACAACAACAACCTCATTGACTGTAAGGTTGATGAATGGAAAAAACAGATGCCAGGGTCGCCTTGAAATCTTTCACAATGGGAACTGGGGAACGGTCTGTGATGATGGTTGGGACTTACCAGATGCAAAGTGTTCCGGACTAGCAGGCTTGAAAGCCTGCAACTCGGATTGGTCCGTAAACAGCGGGTCGTGATTGGTCGCCTCAGACTGATCTGATTGGCTGGTAAACGGGCTGCCGTGATTGGGCGAACCAAGCGCAGCAAAGTCAAATTGCTGTCATTGGCTGCCTAGCCGCAGCAAGCCCTATATAAGGGGCTGCTGCGGCTAGGAGTTTTCGCTCAGACCAGAAGTCACTGTTAAAGAGCTGTTGTTACTATCTGAGTCTCGTCTCCGTTCTTGGACCCATCCTCCCATACTTAACACTGGTGACGAGGGTGGGATACGGAGAGAGCAGAGCTGACTGAACACTCGCAGAAGGTCAACAAGCACGTGGCTGATAGCACGCAGACGCCGGCGGAATGGCTAGCAACGCTATACCACCCGCCCCGTTCAATCCAGCCAGCGAGGATTGGGATTCATATATGGACAGGTTCCAAATGTTCCTAGAGTCCAACAACTTGAAGGATGCTACCCTTGGAAAAAAACGAGCAGTTTTCCTGACGCATTGCAGACCTGCTGTCTTTAAGATGGCAAAGGCACTAGCGAAGCCAGCTGAAGTCAAAACAATGGATTGGGATACCCTTGCCCCAATCCTTCGCAACCATTACGCTCCAGCAGTACCGACTCTCATTCGAAGGCACGATTTTTACCAAAGAGATCAACGTGAAGGTGAGAGCGTCGGGGACTTCGTGGCAGACCTAAGGAACTTGGCTGGATTGTGTGGTTTCGCCAATCTAGAAGAAGCCATGCGGGATCGACTCGTACTGGGACTGAGAGATCAAACAGTCCAAAGCAAGATCATGGCCAAAGGAGACATCTCTCTCGCAGACTCCATAGCTGATGCCACGGCAGCTGAAGCTACCCGCAAATCAGCAGCGCGTATGCGCCGAACAAATGGAGCCAACCACCAACCCACCAACGACATGGCGACATCATCAGAAAAATACACGTCAGCCACCCACCACAAGGACATCGAATCCTCATCAGATACTGACGAAGAAGACGTCCACAGACTCCGGTCAGATCGAGAGCAACGAGACCGCCGTGGTCGTAAGTCGAATTTTCAATGCGCCGGTTGCGGCAGAAACCACCCTTGATCCAAATGCAGATTCCTAGATGCCATCTGTCGCTTCTGTGAAAAACGTGGGCATATTGCTAAGGTATGCCGGAACAAGAGAAGTTCCAGCCCCTGAAGGGGAGAGAACAATTCCAGGCAAACCGAAGGCACCCCCCACCACAAATCGGGACCGCCCCAGCAACCAGTAGAACCAGTACAACAGATCCTGGAAGTTCACCAGCACACCCAGATGGGAAGAAGCACATCAGACTATCACCATCGGCCACGCTTCATCCTTGGACACACAAAAAATCCGTGTAGAGGTCACCATTGACAATCAACCGTGCATCATGGAAGTGGACTCCAGGTCCTCCCTATCCATGGTCTCCTGGAGAACCCTAAAGCAGATGATTCCCAACATCCGCCGCCGAGACCTCAGCAACCAGAGACTCATATTAAAGGACTACCAGGGCAACCAGATTCCGGTTGTTGGCACCAGTCACTTCCAGGTCTCTTTCAAGGGCCACACTGCAATACTACCACTCACCATTGTGGATAGAGACCGACCCAGCCTATTGGGTCTACAGTGGTTCGCGCCATTAGGAATCGAAATGGCAGGCATCAACCAGACTGAAGGCGATGACTGGGAAGCAACCCTTGTCCAGGACTTCCAAGAAATATTCAGTGAACATCTAGGCAAGTACAAGGGGTCCCCCATCTCCTTTAATCTCCGCCCTGACATCACACCCATTCGCCTGAAACCACGCCGAGTCCCTTTTGCTCTCAAACCTAAAATTGACGAGCAACTGGACAAATTAATTGCCCAAGGCGTGCTAGAACCCATCGATCACGCCCAATGGAAGACCCCAATTGTTACTCCCATAAAACCTGACGGGTCTCTGAGAATCTGTGGGGATTACAAGGCCACCCTAAACCACGCGTTACAGCAGAGCGCCTATCCGGTACCAGTGGTCCAGCACCTTCTACACTCGCTGGGGGGTGGCAGAATATTTGCAAAACTCGACCTGGCCCAAGCGTATCAACAGTTGCCAGTTGATGCTGAAACCGCTGAAGCCCAAACTATAGTTACACACAGGGGCGCCTTCAAATGTAACAGACTCCAGTTTGGAGTCAGTGTAGCTCCAGGCATTTTTCAAAGTCTGATGGAGAGACTGTTACAGGGCATAAAAGGGGCCATGCCCTACTTTGACGACGTCTTAATAGCCGCCCCAACAAAGAGTCAATTAGAAAAATGACTACGAACGGTCCTACAAAGGTTCAAAGACGCTGGCCTTAAAGTGAAAAAGGAAAAGTGCCAGCTATGCACAGAAAGGGTTGAATTTCTTGGTTACCTTCTGGACAAACAAGGAATTCACCCTACAGAAAAGAAATTGGCAGCCATCAAAAATGCCCCAAGACCACAAAACAAAACTGACCTACAAGCCTTCCTGGGACTCATTAACTTTTATAACATTTTCCTATCCCAGAAGGCGACCGTCGCTGAACCCCTTCATAGACTTCTCGACAAACGGGCTTCCTGGTTCTGGGGACGACGGGAGGAACATGCCTTTCAACAAGTTAAGGACCTTTTAACTTCTGATGCCGTGCTTATCCAGTATAATGAAACACTTCCATTGACTGTAACTTGTGATGCCTCACCTTTTGGAGTCGGTGCCATCCTTAGCCACGTCCTTCCAAACAGTACAGAGGCACCAATTGCATATTTTTCAAGAACCTTGTCAAAAACAGAAAGGAACTATAGTCACCTAGACAAGGAAGCCCTTGCCATTGTATCTGCAATAAAAAGGTTCCACGAGTATGTGTATGGAAGATCCTTCTCCATCATCACAGATCATAAACCATTACTTGGCATTCTGGCGGGCGACAAACCTACTCCACACATTCTATCCCCTAGAATGACAAGTTGGTCGGAGTTCCTAGCCGCCTACGACTACCAACTGCGACACCGCACAGGGAAAACCATTCCTCACGCAGACGCTTTGAGCCGCTCTCCACTACCGGAACTGCTGGACGACCCGGCTCCTACACTACAAATACTACAAATTGAGACAATTCCCCCACCCCCACTAACAGCACAAGACATCGCATTAGAAACAAGAAAAGACTCATGCTTGGCCCGAGTTCTGGGCTGGGTGGAGAGGGGATGGCCAGAAATCGAACCCAACGAAACCTTTAAACCATTCAAGAACAGACAAACAGAACTTTTTTCCCAAAGAGGGTGCGTATTGTGGGGAGACTGAGTGGTCATACCAGCAAAACTACAAAAAAAACTCCTACAATTACTGCACGACGGGCACCCGGGCATCGTGCGCATGAAGGCATTGGCAAGAAGCTACACCTGGTGGTCAGGTATGGACAAACAAATTGAAACCTGGGTCGCCACCTGCAGCAAGTGCCAAGAGACGCACTCGGCCCCGCCAAAAGCTCCACTGACCGAATGGGAAACGCCCAGAGGCCCGTGGTCACGCATCCATATCGATTTCGCGGGACCCACAAAAGGGCATACTTTCCTAATAACAGTAGACGCATATTCTAATTGGCTCGAGATTAACAAGATGAAAACAACCACCACAGATGCAGTCATCAAGAAATTGAACAGACTTTTTGCAACACACGGCCTACCAGATGTCCTGGTATCCGACAATGGCCCTCAATTTACTGCTCTAGCCTCCGAACAGTACTTAGCGGACCGAGGCATCCGACACGCACTGACTTCGCTGGCTCATCCAGCGGCAAATGGTAGAGCTGAACGAATGGTCCAATTCACCAAAAGAACTCTACAAAAAATGGAACAAGGCAACATCCACAATAAAGTCACCAGAATGCTCCTTCTCCAGCACATCACACCAAACAGCACTACTAACAAGAGCCCAGCAGAACTTTTGATGGCCAGGAAACTCAGATCACCCCTGGACCGACTCCACCCTGCATACACTCCGGAAAAACCCCTGGGCTCTAGCAGCAAACACCGCGCTTTTCAGGTAGGAGACCCTGTATATGCAAAAAACTTTTCAGGAGACCCGTTGTGGATTCCTGCTAAAATAACTCAGATTACAGGCCCTTGCTCCTACCGCTTAGAAACCTCAGATGGGAGAATGTGGAAATGCCACATTGACCAACTACGGTCCAGGCTAACCACGTGTCCCATCGGTGACCCTAACCACGACAGCAGAGGGGGAAGGGAAACCGGGGATGCGGAAATAGAACCAACATCTGGCCGGGAAAGACAAACCCCAAGATCACCACATCACAGCCAACAGAACTCACCAGCTGAAGTGGAGCATTGGCCAACGGGCGATTCACCTAGAAGCAGCAGCCGAGCAGTTTCAGCGGACCCTGAGAGCCCAAGCAGTAGCAACGAAGCTGGCGACTCAACCATTCCGAGGTCACCAGAAGGGAGTTCCAATTATGGAACCGGCTCGCCGTCCCGGCCGATTCCAATGAGCATCCCATCGGAAACCGAGACCGAACACAGACATTTTGAACTAAGAAAGTCAGATAGACAGGTGCGAAGACCCGCCTACCTGTGAGACTATATAACCCCACCCCTTAGACGGAACCTTGAGGGGAGGGGTGTTCCGGACTAGCAGGCTTGAAAGCCTGCAACTCGGATTGGTCCGTAAACAGCGGGTCGTGATTGGTCGCCTCAGACTGATCTGATTGGCTGGTAAATGGGCTGCCGTGATTGTGCGAACCAAGCGCGGCAAAGTCAAATTGCTGTCATTGGCTGCCTAGCCGCAGCAAGCCCTATATAAGGGGCTGCTGCGGCTAGGAGTTTTCGCTCAGATCAGAAGTCACTATTAAAGAGCTGTTGTTACTATCTGAGTCTCGTCTCCGTTCTTGGACCCATCCTCCCATACTTAACACAAAGGTTGTATGCAGGCAACTTGCCTGTGGAGAAGTTATGGAAGCCACCAATGAAGCCTATTTTGGTCAAGGCACTGGCAACATCCTCCTAGAAAATGTTCAGTGCAAAGGGAATGAATCATCAATAGAAGAATGCTCCAATTCAGGCTGGGGAATTCATCACTGTAACCACAAGGAAGATGCTGGTGTCATTTGTTCAGGTAACCATCGCCACTGTTGTTAGTATAAAATGATTTCATAGGATCCTTTGTAGCAAAATATTATGAATGCTTCCGTATCCCTCAGAGAAAGAGCTTACTTTCTGTATTTTTTTTCATAGAAACAGTTTCCCTTACAACAAAGAATCCCATTATACTTAGTAAGTATCATTGTCTTTGCAAACAGTAAATAGAGTATTTGAGAAGTGATCTCATTTTGCATAGAAGAACATATCATAAATACTGAAATTCCTGAATATTGTTATTTAGTGATATAAAAAATGCCAGTGATACCTTTTCTGTGAAACTGATGTGTTATGCTGATTTTCACTGAACACTGAATCATTACTTTTTAAATTCCTGCTGGTCTGTGAAAATTAGCATACTAGAGTTTCGCTGTGAAAGCTCTGTCTGCGTTGTAAATAAATAGTGATAAAATAAGAACAATTAGTCATATGCATTCAAAAATGATAATCAAAACCCAAACTGGATATTATAAACTATACTTTCTGATTTTAATAGACTTGCAAAATATTCCTGAGAATAATTAAAATTACTCTGTAGAGAAACATTAAACTATCAGAGTCTTGTGTCTGTTTTCCTTTCCTTTCTTCATTTATCAAACTCAACTATTTCTTTTCTTTTGGTTTCTACAGCTCCCACAAAAAATACATCAAAAGTGCAAGGTATTTACATTTGGATCATTTTTTAATAAATTTGATCTATGCATTTTTAGTGCAAACATTATACATGCACATATTCTTTTGTGTCTTTAATATGTTGCATTGTAGAACCTTCAATATGATGTTTTATTTGAGCAAATGCATTTTTCAAAGTTTTTCTGGTGTACTCCCTAAAATAATCTCCCTTCTTTTTTTGCATTTAAGATTATTTTCAGTCCTTCCTAATATTAAATTATATTTGCTCTATTTATTACCAGTTCAGGCACTAACTACTCAGAATTTAAGTATAGACCTGTTCCTGCAGTAACCACACCATATCCAATTATTCCAGGACAGTAGATTAACCAGTCTCCTGATTAATGGACTTGAAGTGATGTAATTAAATGTTGAATAACATTCTGTGATGACTTCTTTGCCTTAAGCAAAACAAACAAAATATTGCCTGCAAAAATGCAAATATAGAAAATTATATGGGGTATTTATTTCTTTTCCACTTCATCATTTTTCGCAGCATATCCTCCATCTATCATTTTTATTTGGTCTATCTAGATACTATGCTAAATGTATTCAAGCCTTCAATAAATTTATATATTTATATATATATATGGTGTTCAGCTCTGTTTGGGTATTTTCCCACGTCATTATAGTTGTGCTTTTAAAGTTGTAGCAACGTTTGGGTAGTACTATTTTCAGTTTTAAATTTTATGTATCCCAAACATTGTTATAAATGGAAGTAATAAGAGTCACATAGGCAAGGATATTTCCAACCTCTGGGATATTTAAGCAATGTCTTCACTTTGTATATTCTTGTTGTTGTTGTTGTTTTGCATACCCATTCTCAGGTAGCTTAAAAACCACACAATTGATTGTCTTAACATTCTGCTTTTTTCTTCTTTCTTTCGAGTTTTTATTGACCCAGATGCAGGGAACATAGGCTGCTTCCTCTCAAGTTGTTATTTTCTTTTTCCCATAATGCTTTTATAAATGGCTTTATTTGACATGTGTAAGCAAGTGTTGTTTTCTGGATTTTTTTGTATATTTATTTCATTAAAATTATACACATGTATGTACCAACACAAGCATACTATACAAATAAAGTCCTTCATTGGCCTTTATTAATTTTTTTCTCTCTAGGCAAATGTCTCTATGGCTGCAAACTCACAGGTCCTTCAGGTTCATTTTCAAGCCCATTCTATCCTTCAAACTACCCAAAGAATTCTTACTGTGTTTGGGAGATAGAGGTAGAGGAAAGACGTCATGTAGAACTCAGATTTGAAGATTTCAGGTAATAAAGGATCTGCTAGTTCAACAATGAAAATACCGTTGAATCATTTTATTAATCTGCCACAAACTCTTGCTTTAGTTACAAACTTTTGTAACTAAACATATTTCATAGATTATATTTGGAAAGTTTTATGGGAACTATCTCACAGAATGCAGGGCATTTTCTCAATCCTTCTATCCTGTAATAGAGTGATCTATAAACTAGAATATGTGTTTATGATTTTAATAATACCATTATTATCGATTGTATGTATCCTAAAACTGCAAGAATACAAACACGTAAGAATAATTGTCATGCCCCTGGTGGAGACTGATTCTGAGGGAGAGGAGGAACAGCCAACAGGAAGTGGAAGGGTGGCTCCAGAGGTTGTGGAAGGGTGGCTCCAGAGGTTGTGGTGGAGGCTCGGGAAGGGCAAAGGCCGGCTGAGCAGGCAGAGGAGGACCCAGCGCCCATCCCCTATCCATCCTAAGGCACGCAGGGAGGAGAGGATAAGGGAAAGACGTGGTCTACTCAGGAGGAGAGGGCCTTGATCCTCTTCATGGGATGCAGCTGTGAGAACTGCATAAGAGTTTGGACCTGCGTGCTAGCAAACACTGGAAACAAAGAGTGCTTTATTCCTGGATGAGGTTTATCTTGGTTGGCGTTCTTCCAACGGACTATACCTGGTTATCTTCTTGAAGTTTGTAATTAATTATCCTGGTCTGTTGGGGAATTTTCTCTGGTGTAGTTTGTTTTTGGTTTTTTATTGCTTCGTTATCTGCTCCTTGAGTTGGATTGTATTTCTTTTGTTTGGAATGTTATTTTGGAAAGAGTTTAATCTCCAACTATGAACAATTGAACTGTGAAGCCAAGTTGAAGGCATTAAAGAACATTTATTTATGTTTTTGTTACATCTGTGGGACATTCTAGGTCATCACAATAATATATTCATATACATATACATACATACATGCACACACACACGCACACACACAGATATATATAGCATGATTTTATTTTACTACTTTAAAAAATATGGAAAGGACTTCATTACTTTTTTCCTTCTGTCCAATTTCTGCTTCACTATTTTTGTTCTCAATATATGAGGCATTAACCAATGGCACCTTGGAGAATAGCAAAGGAATACAGTATGCATTAGGCAAGAAAATTTCAGTTGTAGCTGGGAATTCTTAAAATAATAACTGATTTGAAGTAATTTTTTGTTTGTTTGTTTATGACCTGACAAATGTCTCTTTTTGAAAGCAGAATGTAATGGCAATTTAACTGTACTACTTTATACCAGGAATTCTAATCTTCAAAACACAGGATCTCAAATTGTCTATAACCTCACTAACTCTAATCAAATTTTAGCATTGGATGTGATGGAGTATTATGCATTTTTGCATAATAGTACATGCTTAAAATTTATAAGTGACTCTGCTTTGTATTTATAGTATTGTAGAAGGATGCATATATCATGATATAGCCTCCCACTAGAAATAAGATTGATCTCACATTTTTTGGTTTTTAAAAACTGAATTGTTAGAGACAACTTATGCAAGATAAAACAATACCATTTTATTTTACTACTTTAAAATGTATATAACCAAATTTATAAAATATAAATAAGTTGTATTGTTTATTGGCATATAGTTATGGTTAATCACCTAGAGTTCCCCTACAACTAGAAATAAAATAATAAAATAAAGTATATTTTCTTTAGATTTAATATTGTGGTGAGCAACTTTTCCATTCTGGGAGCTTAACTTTTTGAAGAAGGCAAGATAATTGATATAATGTGGGTGGACCATTTTTTTTTCTTCTTCCTCCGTCTGAGAAGTTTAGATTTATCACTCTTTTGAAATTCTGCTATATTGTCTTGGGGCTCACAGAAATACTTTTTGCACGTTTTGTGCCTCAGAACTGAAGCAAAGTTGTAGTTGGTTTGGAAGAAGGACAAGGAAGGAATTCAGATGTTTCTGGGTATTGTTGGATGCCTGGTTGCCCACCTCTGCTTTAATGAAACAATTTCTGTGGGAGTATTTGGGAAGGACAGCTTTAACATATTTTTAAAAATACTCATCTTTTTCTCCACAGAGTGGAAATTACCAGGTTCTGCACACTTGACTATGTGGAGATCTTTGATGGCCCGTTTTCAACATCCACTTCGTTTGGAAAAATTTGTTGGAATCCACGAAAGAGATACTTATCCTCAACAAATAAAATGAGAATTGTATTTATAAGTGATTCTAGCATAAGTGAAAAAGGCTTTCTTGCACACTACCGAGAAGTGCCTCCAAGACAAACTGTGATTACAAGTAAGGCTGCTTCACAATTATCATTCTCTTGTCCAATTTCTGTATTATTACCAGTAACTTGGGTATTGCTCCACTTCTTTTCCTTCCTTCCTAAAAGAACTCTTATATTTCGCAGACATCTCAAATGAATATTTTAGTCCCTTCAATATACAGAGGGCCCCTTTGGTGACCTGGTTTTCTGTATACCTACAAATATAAAACTAAGGTTCTTGAGAGTGTAGAAATAAAAAGAAAGCTGCAAAGTGGATGAGCATTTGTTGCTGCCCAATTTTTCCATCTTTGTTTTTTTGGGGGGGAGTGGTGGGTCATTGCCATGTTGTTTTTATTATTTGGTAGTTCTGCTTTCTTCCAAGCTCCAATAGTTGGGAAGCAGGCAACATACAAACTGAATGCATTTCACAAGGAGTGGGACCTACAGCAGGCCCTTCAGACTTCTAAATTTGATTTTGGCAAAGGATTCCAGAATATCCTAAGACAGGGATGTCAAATTCAATTTCATTGAGGGCCACATCAGGGTTGTGTCTGACCTCAGAAAGCTGGGGGTGGGGGTGGCCATGGTGCTAAGGCAGGACTTCCCTGAAATCCTCCCTCATTCTCATTATAATCTGCTTGCTTGCTTCGTTCCTTTCCTTCTTTCATTTTCTTCTTTTTCCTTTCCTCTTCGTTCTCCTTTCCTTCTTCCTTTCCATCTTTCCTTATTTTTCCTTCCTTGCTCTCTTCCCATCTTCCCTTCTTTTTCTTTTCTTTCTTTTTCTTCCCTCCTTTTTCTCTACTCTTTCCCTTTCTTCTTTCCTATTCCCTTCTTGCATGCTGAAATGCAAAACATTTCTCCTTTTGTTTTGTTTTTAGTTTTGATAGCCCTCTGCCAGCAAAAATGGAGCTCGGGAAGGTCATGTGCAGCTCCCCCCCACGCCCCATTTTCAATTGCAATGATCTCATGCAGCCCTCTGCCAATGAAAATGGAGCTCGCAGAGGGCTGCAGGAGACCATCACGGACGAAAATGGGATGTGGGAGGGCATGCATGCCCCCCCCCCCATGGTCTATTTTCGCTGGCAGAGGCACTGTGGTCTAGTCCTTTGCTGTTTCCAGGTCAGCCCCATGGGCCAGATCTGAGCACCCCACAGGCTGGATCCAGCCTTTGGGCCTTGAGTTTGATATCCCTGTCTTAAGAACTTGCTTTGGGCATGATCAAGGTATTTTCAATACTTTTTTGGCCCAAAATGGCCACTTCCTGTGAAGAGGCTGTAGTTGCCCACTGTCCACTGTCACAAACATTAAATATTTTTTCAATGACTAGCTAGCTGAATTGCTTAAATGAAACAAATGGAATTTGGGCTCTCGCAGCCATTGCCTCATCTGCTCCATAAGTTGTCATGTCACCACTCACTCCAGCAGCATCTCTTACCAAACTGAGAAGAAAACTCCCTCCTTGTCTCTACTGCTCTGGCTTCTTTTATACTTCTTTCTTCTGGACCCTGCTTGACAGCTTGCAAGTACTTCTAAGGACATTTAAACTCCTTTTTCTTCCTTTCTCTGCAGATACGTATGCACCTAGATTGACAACTGACAGATCATTGCAGAGAGAGAGAAAAAAAAATACTGCAGTCTTGATAATTTCACAGCAGTTCATCCTCCTACATGGAGTTTAGCATTGATATGTCTCAACTGTAGATTTGTCATGGAAGAAGACAATTGCTTTTGCCTCTAGTCATCAGTTTGCATTTGATTTTCCCTCCAGCTCAACTTTTATATTTTATAAAACTATAACGCATAAAACATTATATTTTAAAGCAACAAATTATATATGTTCAAACATAGCATCTCACCATTCTCTGGGATAGCTTAATGATTACATTGCGGATGAGAACAATGTAGCAAAACATGGTAATAAAACTATATAAGCTAAAATATGGAATAATAGTATTTCAAACATTTCTTTCAACAGCCTTGCCACCACCACCACCACCACCAACTACCACAATGGCCACTATAGCCAGTAAGTAATATTTTTATGATACGTAAAACATTCATATATGCATGTGATTATTGTTCAGCTTGTTCAGCATTTTTTACCTTGTTCCATAAATTAGTATACATCAAATAAATCTGTATCTGTTGATAGATCAGAGCTCAGGATCAAAATAGCTTTATTTTAAACATGTTTTAAAGTTGATGCACTTACGAAGTATCCCTTAAAATGTATTTTAACTATGTACTGTTTTCTTTTCCTGATTGCTCCTGGTTCCTTCCCCAATTTGGGAATGTCTCCAAACCAAAGAGGACAATTCACTCTCTGTCTCATAATGTACAAAATCCATTCCCATGTTAAATGAATAAATAAAATCATGGGAAAGGTATATTACAAAACAACCGTGAATATCCATGAAGAAACCTTATCATTGTTGATTTTGCAAGATATACCTTAAGAAACTAGTAACATTCATTGTTAAAGAAATTTGAATTCTCATAATCAGTATCCTTAGACTGGTTGTAGAAAGCTAATCTTTTTTGGCCATAATGTTGACAAAAAATGAAATCACATCCTATAAACTGTCATTTTCATGATAACATTTAAAGCAGGGGTCCCCAACCCCCAGGCCACAGCTGATTACCGGGCCATGGCCTATTCGGAACTGGGCTACACGTGCAGGGGACTGATGTGCACGTACACACACGCAGCCCAATTTGCACGAGTGGCTGGCCAGCAGTGCACACGAGTGTGTAACTCAACTTGTACAAGTCAAGCTCATGCAATTTGAGCTGTGTGCCTGCATGCCAGCCTACCGCTCGCACAGCCTGGTTCCCCTCTCTCCCTCTCCAGCTGGCAAAGTTTGGGGACCGCTGTTTTAAAGACAATTAAACTTTTTTCTTTTTGCAAAGATAAACTCTAAGACTTTAAATTTCAAGATTTTGTATGTCCCTCATTTGAACCTCCAGTTCTCTTCTATGTAGCATATACCATATACTTCTTAGACTTCTAACATATTCAGTTTTCTTTCCAGCGGCAATCTTGCTTCCTCTACACATGCCTGTTTTGTTTAATATTCATAATGAATCGGCTAATGCTACTTCATTCATATTATATAATGTTTGAACTAGCAATGCGGTAACTGAATATGGATACCTCAGATGATATTGCTCATACTCCTTTTCTCAGTCCAGCAGTAAGCAGGCTGTAAGGTTATAGGCCCATTTGTTACACCATTAGCTTTCATTGCAAAATCTGGTTGGAATAATAGCCAAACATACATTTCCTACCTGCCATGATTTCTTCAGCCAGTCATGGAGTCACTGCTTGATTGTTGCTTAGTTTCTAGTCCAACAGTCATAGGATCAAGTAAGCCTGGTATTTTCCAAGAGTTAGCTGGCTTATATTTGAAGAATAGTTCCTAAGTCACAGATCCAGTAATCACTCCATAAGTTACTTCTACAAGCTAATTTGTAAAAGATTTCTTAATCATATTTTTTTTTTCTTTCATAGCTCTTCCGGATGATACCACAGATTTTGGTAATATTTATTGTTGTTCAATCACTTCATTAAACATTTTCATGGGTCTATGGCATTCAGCATGAATTCAGATAATTATATTTCTTTGTTCAGTAGCAAAATGAGTGGCCTCTCAGAGTGGCCTCTCAGTAGGTTGAGAGTTCAATCCTAGATAGTAGGAGATGTTTTTTTCCTCGGTCGCAAATTTAAAAAAAAAAACCCTGTGAAGTTCACATAGGCATCAGGAAGGGCACCCGGTCAGTCAATGCTCAGGTCCACCCACTTGCCCCAACTTTACCAAGTAGAGACCACAGGGTTGTAAAAAGAAAGTTCAGTAGCAAATTGCCACCCACACAAAGAGTGAAAGTTTTTGGAAACCACCACAAATATCAGTGTCAACAAGAGTGGGTGGGTGTACTGGACAGAAGTGTCCCCTTCACCTCCCTGCTGCTTAAGGTCATGTTGAAGGGTGGACATGATTTCAAAGATTTAGTTACTGATTAAAGTGATCATGGCAAAAACATCACTGATGGGAATGGAGGAGGAAGCAAAGCCAGGGTTTTTGTTACTTAGGATGCCACAGCTGTGTGAATCACCTGTCTGATTCACTGAACTTTACAAAGAGTTCAGATGCCCTTGCCTTCTATTTTTAACTCCTGACTTCTTCGTCCATCTTTTACTTTTTCATAGGAAGCTTGTTAAGAATAAAAGATGGAACAATTGCACAGTGGCTTTTGACTCACAGTACTAGGAATATTATAGCTAATAAGGCCCTGATATTAATGTGTGCAATTATACCAAACAATTTTGAAATGAACTAATAAATAGCTATAAATGTAAAACAACATGAACTGATTGCTGATCAGTTTGGAAACGGAGAGTGAAAACTCTTAAGTACCATTAAGTGTGGTTATTTTAACTAATGGTAAATCAATTATATCTGCATTTACATGGTAACCTAGCTACAATTTTATATATTTTCTTCTTACTGACATAACATTTCCTTTCTCACTGTGCAGTAACACTTACTTGCTATACGGAATACATGAAGGCAGTTATTGGGAAACAATATCTCATTTCAAAGGGCTGCCTTGACTGTAATTTGTACATAAGCGAAGCCACCTGTACACCTGATATTTCAAAAGATAAATTTACATTCTATATACCATATGATGGTTGTGGAACCAAAAGAGAGGTAAGTATCTGATAATGTGACCGGTCACTATAATGGAATGGTTGTTATTTTGAAAAGTTTAAGGCTGAAAATCTCAAAAATACAGTGTCATTTTTTTTTTCTTGCAAATAAATTGTGCTTAAGGAGGTGCTGTAACTAATTCTTATTTGAAGATGTTAACCAATATTTGATCATCTAAATTAGTGGATAGCCTAAATGATATGATAAAAGTCTTTAGATGAGTGAGACTTCCTACTTTTCAATTTAAATGAAAATTCAAGTGATGGCGCTCCCACAACTTCTGAGGGCAAGCTGTTCCATTGGTTGATTGTTCTCACTGTCAGAAAGTTTCTCTTCCTAGTTGATAGCAGAAAAGCAATACAGTATTCAGCACCCCTTTCCAAATATATGTATATATGGCTATTCACACGATCCAAAAAGATCTGATATCCAATCAGTTCAAGGCATTGGATTTAATCATGTGCCTTTGAATTGCTTTAGAGCAGTGTTGTTGTTTTTTTTCAAATTTGGCAAGTTTAAGATATGTAGCATTTAACCCTGCTTTAAACAAATTCAAAAGCAATTCCAAGACATGATGGACTTTCTGGCTACCTGATATTAGGCATTGTCATGGTTTCTTTCCATATATAGCTAATGTTGACTAGGGTGATGGAAGGATGTGATGTATTCTGTAATATTAATATAAGCCAATGAACTTTATCATTTCCTAAATCCTGGTTACATTTGAAAGCTTGTTATTTTTTTACCTAGAAAGAAAGCCATATCATTGCATGAAAATTCCAAAGAAAGTGGGTTGCTGTTATATTTCTTACAGGTGTACTATAAATGCAGAAATGATAATACACCATTTGTCAGTCTTTCAAAAAAAATATGTACAAGCAGTTATATGGCCTGTCTTTCTCAAAAGAACGAGTCAATGCACTTGCAAAAAAGCAAGCGATAGAGGGTAGGGGATACTTCAGTCTTTCCTAAGACCTTAGTTTTAAAAGTTTTTTTCATTTTTTAAAATGTGAGTAAAGACTTTTTAGTTTACTATAGCTCCTCTGCAGGTACTTTGCTGTACAATTTGAAGTTTACTATGCTTTTTTACTCTCATTTCTGCTATTTTCACCTTAAGAGAACTATAGGGAGGAAAATGTTTCAAAACTGTATTGTAAAACCGTTGAAGTTCTTTACCATAATTCTTTAGCTCCTTCCAGGCAGCAATTCTTTCTATTAAATCATGGGTGAAGATCAAATGTTTTAAAAACGATCGGATTTATATATTTTGCTTGATGTTTTAACAGAATTATGGGAAGATAAGCACTTTCACCAATATTGTCAACAGCACTGGGGATGGCGTAAATCCTCAGTTTCGATTCATCTGTAAAATGGAGCCCAGAAAAAATATGGAAGTCACCCACAACATTGATGAATTTGAACACTCAAAGCAAGGGCCAAAATTTCATATGGAATTTTTATTTTATGAGTCACCTTTCTTTAAGCAGCCAATCAATAACATGGGTTACTTTATGAACGTGAACCAGAATGCATACATCCAAGCCACACTCTACAGCTTTAATATAAATCAGATATTATTCATAGACTCTTGTGTGGCATCCCCTAATCGTTACGACTTCAAAACTGAAACTTATGTCATGATAAATAGAGGGTAAGGCTAACAAATTAGTATTTCTTCACATAATCATTACTTTTTTTGTCTCTGTATCGTATCAAGATACATTTTGTCATCACTTTATCTGCATCTCCAGAATATTCTTCTGGAAGCTTCCCTGTAATGCTTCTAAATGTGTCAACCTGATGCTTTCCAAATGTGTGAAACTTCAGCTCCCATAACTATAGCCAGCCAGCCAATGATCATGATAACTAGAGGTTAGATAAGTTATAGTCCAGCACAACTGGATCAAAACATGATGTTGAAAAGTGCTGTTTCTTAACACCAAATGTAACTTCACCGAATATTGTAATTTCTACTTAGATTTGATTGGTTCATTTGACAATCTATTATTGGATACCACCCAACCTCCCATTATTTTTGTCAATATGCTTTTGATCTTTCTGCAGTTATCTTTAGTCTCTAATCCTGTTTCCAACTCTCTCCTGTGAAAACCTTTCCTGATTCATCAAATGCATCATAAATTTCCCAATTTTGACAAGTAGATAATTATAATTGCTAAATAATGCAGAATAAATTGAAAATGACTGATCAACACAAACATATATACAAGATAGATAATATTATAGTTCATTCATTTGCTAGGAACAACCTAAGAATCTCAGTAGAATAAACACAGAGGAGAGTGAATTATCCGTGCCCTCTATGCTTATGTGTTTTTCAAGTAAATATTTTAGAAAAGTGAATAGATAGTATAGTGTATGGTGCATTGTGGGAAATTAAAGCTTGTCAAAATAAATTAAACCGGCCATGTGCAAGGGTGTTTATAAATGAGAGTTGATATGTCAGGGGAAACATGAAAAGAAATTGAAGACAGTATTAATGGATTATTTTAAAAAGGGGTCCCCAACCTTGGCAACTTTCAGCCTGGAGGACTTCAACTCCCAGAATTCCCCAGCCAGCTTTGCTGGAGAATTCTGCTGGCTGGGGAATTCTGGGAGTTGAAGTCCTCCAGGCTGAAAGTTGCCAAGGTTGGAGACCCCTGATTTAAAAAGTATGAGGTAAAATAAAATGAGATAATGAATGGATGCTGAATGAAAGCAGATGAATACAAAAGTAAGTGTCCTGTATGAAAGAAATACAGGTGGTCCTCGACTTATGATGACAGTTGAGCTCAAAGTTTGTGTTGTTAAGTGAGTTTTGCCCCATTTTACGACCTTTCTGGCCACAGTTGTTAAGTGAATCACTGCAGTTGTTAAGTGAATTTGGATTCTCCACTGACTTCGCTCGTAAGAAAGTGTCAAAATGAGATCACATGACCCCAGGACACTACAACCGTCATCAATATGAGTCAGTTGCCAAGTGTCTGAATTTTGATCACATCGCCATGGGGATGCTGCAATGGTCATAAGTGTGAAAAAGAGTCTTAAGTCACTTTTTTTCCAGAACCATTGTAACTTTGAATGGGCTAAATGAACGGTTGCAAATCAAGGATTATCTCTATGTGAAGGTTGTTGTTCATATGGAGCAAATGACTGGGATTGAATCGCAAAACAGTTTGAGGGTAATGATTGAGAAAATAAGGAATGTATATAGTTGATCAAATTTTCAAAACTAGGATGAAGTTCAAAGAACAAATGTATGGAGTGTTGCATGTGCAGAGTGGAAAGAAGGATGGTTTGCAAGGACCAAACAGTACAGAAACATATTCTGAATAGTGCTGGTACAAATCAGAATTAGTCCTATTTCTGATTCATTTCACTATCTTGGGCCCCTAGTTTCTTTGGCTTCGTGTTTCTTACCCTTTTTCTGCACTCAGCATATTGTCTTTTGTCCTATAAGATGCCTATGTATGTATGGTTTTTCAAAAAAAAAAATCATTTTAAAATCTTCCTCTTTTATTGTTCTTGTGTATTTTATTATTGGAATGGGTTGACTAGCAACCTATTTGCAATTATGCAACTATGCATGCAATCTATGAACAAATACTCTCTCTTAAGCATGATATTACCATTGCTAGTTTAATTCAGTGAAATTGTATTCATGCAAGTTCTAATAAAAAATGACATGTCTGTGTTCCATCTCTTTCAGATGCAAAATGGATAGAACTTACCAACTTTTTTCTTCAAGGAACAGGAGAAGCATTAGCTTCAGATTTAAATCTTTCATATTGAACAACAACTATTCCACAGTATATATTCGCTGCAAGATTTTTGTGTGCAAAGCACAGGATTATTCCTCTCGTTGCTACCAAGGCTGCTATAAAAATAATAGAATAGCATGAAACTAATTTTTCTAGGCTTATCATGCTTACCAAACGAATAGCAGCTTGAATGTAATCAAATACACAATTTTGTCTTATCTTGCAAATCTTTCTCAATAATGACAATTTTTCACATGCAGAATTGAACTATTCAATGTTTAAATGTTCTCGCTGTTGTGCTTTTATCTATCGTCCTCATTCCTGCCATCTGGTACACTTTGATTTGATGTGGGGACATTTACAACTTTTGTGCCTGAATTCATCATACTTAATTAGTTTAACAACCTAGCAAAATAAATAAAGAGAAACATTCTGGTTTTTTGTATTTAATCACATTGGGAAAATTGTCAGAGTAATTGGTTTTTATCCATCATTATTTCAAAGTGAAATGTTATTCTTATCATTTGGTAATACACTGAGACTATATTTCTATTCTATGAAGCTATAGGCTACTATATCTAGGTTTTATTCAATTGACTCAAATGTCACTCAGCATTTAGAACAATAAAATGCATAATAATTTGGATATTATTTAATGCACAAGTTTTGCTAAATTTGCATCACAAGTGGAGAACTAATGGAACTTGGACTGTTGAATTTAGAAAGGGAAGCCATATCAAATAATTTTGTTAAAAGAGTCAAAGAATACATTTTAGATTTTTAAAAAGAGTGCAGCAATCTCAGATTCAATAGTATGAACTAAAAGAAAAGCCTTTACCCATTACAATAAATAAATATTGATCTTTTCTGCTCTATCATTATGATCCAGATATGTACATGGTACATTCTACTCCAGAGGTGGGCAACTATGGCCCCTTTATGACTTGTGGACTTCAACTCCCAAAATTCCTGAGCTAGCATGGCTTGCTCAGGAATTCTGGGAGTTGAAGTCCATAATTCATAAAAGGGCCATAGTTGCCGACCCCTGTTCTACTCTGATCCAAGATTGTAACCCATCATAGGACAAATTGCTCTAAAGAAAATAATTAAATATAAAAACAGACTGAAACTAATGGACTGTAGGGACCTTTGTCTAAATGACAATAGAATAACAGTAGGTGATGTTATAATGCAGAAATGGATTGTCAATTTTGTTTAAATAACTGAAATGAAGGGTCTTCAAACTTGACAGCTTTAAGACTTGTGGACTTCAAATCCCAGAATTCCTCCTCCAGTCATGTTAGTTCAGGATTCTGGGAGTTGAAGTCCACAAGTCTTAAACTTGCTAAGTTTGAAGACCCTTGACTTAAAATGTCAGGTCTGTCACTTTAATTCCATGTCGGAATATATAATAGAAAATCAATTATGTTCTGGGTTATGGGTAGTATCGTATTATAATGGTGCACTGTTTTGATTTGCCCCAATGAAGAATTTTGGCTGTGTCCTTCAGGACAAATTAATCTATATTTTATCAGTATTGTGCTCTTTATTTCCCTCACAACTACAACTACCAGAGGGCACAATATTTGACTATATTTGAACAGACTTTTGGTCTTTTTCTCTTGAGAAAAAAGGTAGCCTTGGACTCTTTTACTACATGTTGTGTTATTTAGAAAAGGCTTTGGTTTAATTTGCATAGTCAAATTCTTGGAATTTGGAATTTGCATAGTCAAATTCTTATGCTAATTCAAGTAGTAAAAAAAAATCCCCTACTATTAAGTTCTGCTCTTCTGTGAAGTGGACAACGGACAAATATACAGTATAGCTTTTACATATAGCCCATTCTGCAATTTCATATTACTTTTGCTATTTCTTTGTCCATTTATGCCCAATCATTTATAAGAAATAAATACAATAATGCTAAAAATTAACAATATATAAAAATTATATATTAATATATAAAAATTAATAAGCATGGCTCAAAAGAAATTATTATTGCAAATGGGGGAAAGAAAACAACCTAAACAATATCTTCTCAACAAAGAAAAGACTCTTTAACAATTTGCCCTAAGTAGAAGTTTTATAATCTAAGTATCACAAGAGAAGTTTAGTGTATATAATATAGATACTCCAATGCCAAACTTGCATACAATAGTTCTCTTAACAGTTTTGTCTTAGGTGTAGATTGCTTTTTCTTGCAAATCACCAGTGTCAATATTCACTCCACGTTTGGAGCTTAACATGAAGAAAACAAAGATTTTAATCCTCATTTCAGCTTTAGCCCAAAACTGGATTGGAGGGATGATGCTAGCTATTTTTATTGGTATGGAAAACAACTTCTCACTAAAATGAATAAGAAAGGGAGGTTTGCTATGCAAAAGTCAGAATGGGAATGAGATCCTATAGAGTCTGTAAAACAATGGGGGTAATTTTGTTTCCATGTCCCTAAACATGGAACAACAAATTACTAGAAGAAAACTACAGAGAGCGGTGCTTGAACAGAATACCTTTAAAGCTTAAGGAGATTCACTTGAACCATGTGAGCACCTCCCCCATAAGAATGTATTAGGGATACATTTAGAGAATGAGGTAAATGCCAATTTTCCAGAGCAGTGCTTTTATCTACACAGGTGCATATAACTTGCTAATCAGAAAACGTCTCGTATCACACTTATCAAGAATATTTTTAAAAAATAATCCCACATGTGCCCATTTGCAGCATGGTTTGAGGTTGAGAAACATCACACCTGTGGATCTAGGTCATTGCTAGGTACATGGAAAAATCTATAAGAATCCTTGTCTCAGCATTTCTCACCCAGTCAGGCAAGAAAGATATGTTATAGACCCATCAGTCATGAACTCTGACTAGCTCCTTCTCTGCCATTGCTCCTGCCCTGTGTGATATTCGTTCCCCAGAGGTGAGGCAGGCCCTCATTCTCCTAGCCTTTCAAAAAGGAAGCTAAAACACCATAACTGACCTTATATATGCTGACAGCAGCAAGATTACTTTATGCACAAAAATGGAAGGACGAATGGCTGCAAAAATTGATGGAGTTAGCAGAGATGGCTAAAGTGACTGCTTTGCTTAAAGAAAAGAACCCATTGATTTTGTTTCTCATTGGAAACTGCTTTTGGGTTTTATGCTTGAAGTGGAAAAAATGAAACTTTGATTTTGGGTTTTGCTGATTAGATAGGTTTGGCGTTATAGAAATGGCTAGTATATATTATTATATAAAAGCAAGGTGTCAAAACTGGTGGCCAGCTGGCCAGATGCATCACACACAGGCCACGCCCACCCTGGCTCCGCAAATGCAAAAAATGCCGTGACACATCACATGAAGCGATCGAGTTTGACACCCATGTATAGAAGTAAAAAACTGAGTTTTCGTGTTTATTACCTTATTCTACAGCACCAAAACAAATCCGAAGTCAATGCTTTTTTCCCCTCTATACCCTAATTTTTCTCTCTTTCCCTTTTCCTCCTGTCTTATCTTTATTTTCATTTTTCCTTGTATTTCTGTATTTTATGCTTTGATAAACTAATAAAAAAATCTGTGAAGGAAAGGGAAGTTAAAACGTGACTCTGGGGTCTCGTATGGGGCTGGTTAGTCCTCTGAAAGCCCTCCCCTCACATTTTAACTAATTTTAAAAGTATTCAAAGACTCTTCCTTCCTCCTAAATTTTTAACTTTTATATATACTGTTTTACATCTTAACATTTTATTGTATACCGCCCAGGATCTCTCTTTGAGGGAGATGAGTGGCTCAGAAATGTGAAAAATAAATAATCAACAATAACTTTTCCTATCAATATAATTCTCTTTTATCTTTTTCTCCAAATCTCAACATTTCCTTTGATAATGTCTTTTTGCATTTCCTTTGGTTTATTTGTTCAAAAAGGAGAGCACTTGATGCAACAGGTGGCTTTCTCATATTTTTTTCCTTTTTTTAAAAAAAAATCTGCATTGGAGAGGTTTTTAATGTCAGTTGCCCAATGTTATTAGGAAATGGGGATCAAATGATACCTGTAACATTAATAGTTCAGGTTTGAAATGTGGGGTCCTTGGCTGTCTCTGAGCTTGCTTGTTTTCTTGCAAATGTTTCATTACCCAAACTAGGCAACATCATAAGTGCTAGTCCTGATGACGTTATTTAGTTTGCATAATGAAACATTTGCAAGAAAACAAGCAAGAACAGAGAGCACTAAGGACCTCCCACCTTTAACTTCATCAAGCAGTAACATTAACCTATTTCGGGTCCTTGGGCTGGATAAATGGATAAAAAGGCCAAATTCAGTCTCATCATCTGGCCTATTGTGTGACAAGCCATAATAATACTATTTGAGGCTGAATTTTCCTCCCAGTTTTGTCATTGTTAGTTATTCTTATTACTGCATAAAGCTAGAATAGTTAAAGCTAGGACATTGTGGGAATTAAAGACCTAGATTTTTTTTTTTTAAGTAGCATCAGCTCATTGAGATAGGCCAGTTCAAGAAACAGGCATTGCAGGCATTTCAGGAATAGCAATAACAATAGCACTTAGACTTATATACCGCTTCATTGTGCTTTACAGCCCTCTCAAAGTGGTTTACAGAATCACCATATTGCCCCCAACAATCTGGGTGCTCATTTTACCAACCTTGGAAAGATGGAAGGCTGAATCAACCTTGAGCCAGTGAGAATTGAACTGCTGGCCATTAGCAGAGTTAGCCTGCAATACTGCATTCTAACAACTGCACAACCACGGCTCTGGTGATGTGTGTGTGTGTGTGTGTGTGTGTGTGTGTGTGTGTGTATAGATACCTAGATACTTCCAATCTTACGCGGGAGAAAACCCGAATACCCGCGAGAACCTCAGAAAATATATATATATAATATATATATATATATAAGAATCTTGCAAACCTGTCCAAGTTTCTCTATGTTTCACCTTGTACTAAACAAAATTAAAGCAGGGTTTTTAAGCATTTTTTTCTCAAGCTTGCCTCCTTTACAGGAATGTGTGATCTGCTCCATAATTTTCTACTTTCACACAACCTTTAAAGTCTGGTTCATTTCTTCCCACGATCAACCCTACATTCCCTTTCATGTCATTTATGAAAGGATCTTCAAAGTGAAGAGCCTCCACAGCAAGGGGCAACCAACTTCAAGTATTGTCTTTCAGTAGTAGCATGAGAAATGGAATGTACGCTGTCAACAAATATTTGCTATCATGCCTCAAACTTATTTTATATTGCATAAGAAAAGGTGTTAGATTTAGTGGAACTCATGTAAAGCAAGGTGCTATAGTACTGCTTGTAAAGCCCTTGATAGGATAACCCGAGGGGGAAAAAGAGCACTACTTATAATAGGTGGGCATAAAGGATGAGGCTTGTGCCCTGGTGATTGAGCATAGCGTGAAAGTGACATATCAGATGAAGTGAGGGTTC